CTTTAATTTAAGCACAAATTTTAGTGGTTGTTTTATATAAATCTCTTCTTCAAAGACATCATTGAAGAATGTAGACTTGACATCTAATTGGTAGATATTCCATTATTTTTGTGCTGCAAGGGCTATTAAAGCTCTTATTATGTCTAATTGTGCGATTGGAGCAAATATCTCATTGTAATCCACTTTTGGCTGCTGTCAATAATCCTTAACTATCAACCTTGCGTTGTATTTTTGTATGGTACCATCGAAATTTAACTTTGTTTTGAAGACCCATTTAACTTCGATGATATCTTTATCTATTTGACAATTTGTTAGCTCCAAGTGTTGTTTTTTTTATTATCTTTATCTCTTCTTCCATTGCCTTCACCTATTCTTCTTGTTTCGCAGCCTCTTCAAAGTTTTCACGCTCTAGTATGGCCTACATGATTCATATATGTCTGTCAAAGATTTGATTCATTTTGGAGTGGATTCAAGTGATGATTCTTCTTAATCTTGAATTGATGTTGGAGTTGCAGGATATTCTAGAGTTATAACAATATCCTGATTGTTATCTTCTTGGCTTGTAGTTGGTTGATAGATAGGAATGTATATAATCTTCCTTTCAATTTGCTCTTCATCCCAATTCCAAGTAACACTTTCATCTACTTCAATGTTTCTGATGATTGTTAGCTTCTTTGTGTGAAGATTGTAGACTTGATAGCCTTTTAATTGTACATTTTCTTCTAGTTTGTGTCTCTTTTGGTCTAGAACGTGAGTATAACAAATAGATCCAAATATTCTTAGAGGTTTAGCTAATGGTTTTTTCTGCTCCAAGTTTCGATTGAAGTCTTGTCCTAAACTATCTTAATAAGACATCTATTGAGTAGGTAAACTGCTTTAACCCAAAATGTATTTGGTAATCCTTTATCTTTTAGCATCGATCTCACCATCTCCATGACTATGCAATTCTTTCTCTCTGAGATACCATTTTGTTATAGAATATATGCAACTTTAAGTTATAACTTTATGCCTTCATCTTTGCAGAATTTGTCAAATTCATAAAATGTGTACTCCTTGCCACGATCATTTCCAAGAACTTTCAGTTTTCCACTTTCTTTCTCGACGAGACCCTTGAATTTCTTGAATATTCTAAAAACTTTTAACTTTGTCTTTAAGAAATAGACTCATGTCATTCTAAAAAAATCATTCATTAATAAAGAGAATAAAATATCTATTATTGTAATGTGAAAGTGTCCCCATCGATCCACAAACATCGGTATAAATTAACCCCAATAAGTCTTTTGTTCTTCATACTTTGCTTGTCAAGAATGATAATCAATATCATTTGCCGAGGAGACATTCTTCGCATGATTCATTATTGTCCTTTAAACATGGAAGATATCTCGTCATATTTTCCTGATATAAAAGTTTTAAGCATATATGTTGAAGTGGTTAAATCTGTTATATCAAAGCCATGAATTATCTGTTGGATTACTTTATTATCTTTTATTTAAATTAGGTAGTAAGAGATTTTATTATCTTTTAAGAGAGAAGATAAAAAGATATTAGGTTATTATTTTGATTTAGGTAATTATGATTGAGATATTATGAATATTTAATATTTTATAATATTTTTACTCTCTATATACATAGAGTACATGAATAGAAACATACCCACATGATATATCAGAAATACATATATACAAAACCCTAAAAATTCTTAACAAATTGGTATCATAGCTTTGGTTCGACACAATGGAAGAAGAAAGAAATTTTTCACAAGTCGTTATTTCAGTTTTTAATGGAGAAAGTTATGACTTATGGGCTGTAAGAATGCAATCCTATCTTGAAGGATTGAATATATGAGAAGTTGTAGAAGAAGATTATATTGTTGATCCACTGCTTGAAAATCCCACCATAGTTGAAATAAAATTTCACAGAGAAAGAAAAACGTGGAAGGCAAAAGCTAAATCATGTCTGTTGGCTGGTGTTTCACAAATGATCCTCACCAGAATCATGACGCTAAAGTGACCCAAAGAAATTTGGGATTATTTGAAAGATCAATATGAAGGGGATGAGAAAATTCGAGAAGTGTTACATGTTTTACAAGTACAAGAGCAACGAAGATTGATGAGAGGAGATCATGCTGCTGGTGAAGGTTCTTTACTATATCATGATCAAGGTTCTGTCCAAGCCAAGAACAACAAAGGTATAAAATCACGAGTCTTTTCTGTTTGTCCTTATTGCAAGAAAAATAATCACACACCCAACAAGTGTTGGTGGAGACCTGATGTGAAATGTCACAAATATGGTCAATTAAGACATATAGAAAAGATATGCAAATGACAACCAGAGGAAGTCGTTCAAGTTATAGAGGATAGAGTAGAAGATGTACTTCTCCTTGCATCAACATGCTCTACAATCAACAAATCCACAGGTTGACTTATAGAAGTAGTTGTACAAATTACATGACTCATGATCGAAAACTTTTCACAGAGCTCAACGAATCACATATTTCTAAAGTGAGAATTAGTAATGGAGAAGAAATGCATGTGAAAGGTACGAGAACAATTGCAGTTAAAAATCATTCGGGTATCAAATTGATTTTTGATATTTTATATTTTATATGTTCCCGATATAAATCATAATTTGTTAAGTGTTGTTCAATTATTGGAAAAAAGTTATAAGGTATCTTTTGAACACAAACTTTGTGTGATTAAAGATACAAATAACTCGAAAATATTCAAAGTTCACATGAAAGGAAAAAGTTTCACTTTAGATTTGATGAAAGAAGAGATGATTACAAACAAAGATATAAAAGAAAAGTAAAAGAAAAAGCATGAAGAAGATTTCTTGAAGGAACTGTATGTTAAGGAGGAAAATAAAGATATAGATGAAGAAATCGTTTTCAACGTCCATCAAAGAGTCAACAAGTACTACCATGAAGTTTGAAAGAAACAAAGGAGAAACAAAGGAGATGAAGTTGATAAAAGAAGAAATATTTTGATGAAAAAAATGAAGTTAAATGAAGATGTGATCTCATTCAAGAAAGAAGATGACAAGAAGTATAAACAAAAAAGGAAGAAAAATTATAAGCAAAATAAAAGAAAAAATATTAAATTCAAATAAATAGATATTAAAGTAAGAAGGAATGCTGGGAATTTACTTTATTATCTTTTATTTAAATTAGGTATTAAGAGATTTTATTAATTTTTTAAGAGAGAAGATAAAAATATATAGGTTATTATTTTGATTTAGGCAATTATGATTGAGATATTATAAATATTTGATATTTTATAATATTTTTACTCTATATATACATAGAATACATAAATAGAAATATACCCACATGATATATTAGAAATACGTATATACAAAACCCTAAAAATTATCAACATTATCAACTTTTACCTTCATGACAATATTAGTTCCAACTTTGAATTTTATGGAAAAACTTCTATTTCTCTTATTCATTTTTACTTGGCCAACTTGTAACTTTCGATTGTCATAAATTTTATATGTGACTTTCTCAAAATGAAGAGAATACTCATTCTCTGTCATTTGATCAATACTTTAAATTTTTTTTTTTAAGATCCTCGATGAATTTGTACCTTTCTTTCTCTCCACCCTAACATTTCCTTTACCTTGGAGACTCCACTGTGGTGTCATTTCCCAACTGAACATTGATATTGACAGATTTATCAATGTCTTTGAAGATACTTTGATCTTTGACCATGTGATTAATGTATCCACTGTCCAATTACCATCTTCTTTCTTCACTAGGAGATTCTTGATTAGCGTAGAATAAATGTTGCTCCTGTTTATGTTTTTGGCAAAGTTTACTTGATGCTTATTTGACAATACTTTTCCACATGGCCGGATTTATTGCAATAATTACATATTGCCATTAGTCTTGTACTGCATGACTTGACTTATTGTAAATGCCACACAAAGGATATTTATCTTTCTTGTTTTCAAGAGAGGGATTTCTAAAATCTTTGTTTCTAGAATATTATTCTACATTTTTCTTTTCTCCGTCTTCTTTATTTTTGGACTGTAATTTGAACTGTGATTGGAATGCATTCTCAACTGAATTTGTATCAGCACGACTATTTAATCTTGCTTCATGCGCTCCAAGACCAACTAATTTATTTATCGATAGAGAAGATGGATCTAAGGAAGTTTCTACGGAAGCTACAATGGAATCATATTTTTCTGAGAGTGATAAGAATTTTTTGTTCTTCTATAGTATTCTTCAATGGTCTCGGAGTCCTTCATTCTAATGGTTTCAAATTCTCTTCTTAGATAGTGTAGTTTGACGGAACGTACCTGTTCATTACCTTCAAATTCTTCTTCCAAAATATTCCATGTCTTTTTTGTAGGTTTTGCATCCATGATCCTCCTGGCGATAGTTTCTCCCATAGCTCGTTGAAGAACAAATAATGTTTGGGCATCCTTTTGTTCAAAATCTTCTAACTTTTTCTGCTCCTCCACAGACAGAGTAATAGTATTATCTGGTTTTGTATAACCAAATTGAACAATATCCACATTCCAACCATATTTCAGCCGAGAGTTGGCTATTCAAAGTCTTGTGCTTTTCCTCATGGCTTGATTTTTAGAATTCACTGACACATGAATTCACATTTGTTATATAAAATTACTTTTAAATCACACTAACGTTATCAAGATCATTTCATGCTTTAAGAAACCTGTGTTACCAAATCACACTATCTATTTATGCTTCATGCTTTCAAGTATCAGTGTGGTGAAAACTAGAAGCAGAGTTAAATTTTAGGTGGGAAGTTTACAACTATTCCAACATATATGTATAGTTTACAATATACAAAGTTTAGGTGGGAATTTTAGAAGAGGAAGCATATTTTGTGAACACAACTAAGGACTTAACTGCCTGCAACCTAACACTGGACCTTTACTATTTCATATTTTGTCCAAATATCTTATTTTATGTCAATATCAATTATTAATTTCTATGAATAACTAAAGTATTTTATCTACTCTAGGCAGCCAAAAGATAATTCACAGAGATATTAAGTCAGCAAACATACTCTTGGATGACGCTTTTGAGGCACTGGTACGCATGCATTTTGTTGCCATAATTATTATAAAATTTACTTTTCAATCGTGACACATTAATTCTCTCTAAGTGCAAAGTGGCGACGCTAATTCACCCTTGTTCTGATATAGGTTGCAGACTTTGGACTTGCAAAGCTAACCGATGCTGACAATAGCCATGTATCAACTAGGGTTATGGGGACCTTTGGGTGTGTTTCATATGACTTAACATGAACAAATGATACTAATGTATGTAGATAATCATGAGGGATTGAGATGAGACTTGCCCTCAAATGAAATACATTTCTAGTTTGAAGAGGCAAAATTTGCTTGAAAATATTTCACCAAAGTTTTGGTTTTTGGTTCTCCACACAGTGGAATAAATCTTCCTTAGTTCATTTTGTCGGTTAGTGATTACAACTTCACCATTCATTGGTGTTACTCTAGAAATAAGTACTAAAATGAATTTGATTTGGATTAAGTTTTCAAAACATCTTATTAACTAACCGGTTGAATCTAGTGAAAGGGATTAGTCCCAACCAATATTTGAATATCATGGAAGAGGTGCTTATATTTAGTGTCCAAATGTACTTCGTTTATTTGTATCCGAGGAATGATACTTATAAGACAAATAAAATAAAACAAAAACATGATGTTGAAATTTTAAGGTATTGTTCTCATGGGAATCCATAAAATATTAATATAGTTACATTTGCCATAAAATCTTCCTCAGTATAGGCCAATTAGATTATTAAACCAATTCATTTCTGGCTTCAATTTGCAGGTACATGGCTCCAGAATATGCAACAAGTGGAAAATTAACAGACAGATCAGATGTTTACTCATTTGGGGTAGTCCTCCTTGAGCTTGTAACGGGAAGGAAACCAGTTGATCAAACTCAGCCAATTGGAGATGAGAGTTTGGTTGAGTGGGTAAGAATATATCTTCTACATATTTTTTAATTGTGTAATATATCCCACGTCTTCATGTCCCATTTTTGGGAAAAATGTTGAATGGGCAGAGATTACCACCTATTCATGTCCAGGAATCATCCATCACTTGCATGCCTACTATATCTATCAATCTCGACGTTGATATGCAGTTGAGTTCTTAATTCAGGAGAAAATATTAATAAAATTGCACTATTATTATGTATAAGATGAGTGGATGCAAATTTCCATTTCCTTAAAAACAGATTTTTTTTTTATTAAATAAATCCTGATTTTTCGCTTACTTCTCACCTATCTATCTCTCTTCCCTCCCATCACATGTCCCATTTGATTTTGCAGAACATTTCATTTAGAACTGTTAGTTAATTGTTTCTGTCAACAAGTGCTAATCACTTTCTATTTGACAGTGATTTATGTTCAATCTGTTTTTTTTTTCTCGTAACTTTCAGTTAGATTTTGCTGTAAAAGCTATATATAGATAGATAGCTTTGTCTTTCCAGAGTCTTACAAGAGTGTAGTGTCATCTCTAAACCCTCTTGTACAGAGAGTGTAAAACCTGAAACTGAGTTGAAGAGAGGTTGTCTTCACAAAAGGGAAAGTGATATATAACAAGTTGTGGTTGTAAAAGCTATATATAGTTTTGTCTTTCCAAGTTTTTCAAAGTGTAGCACTATCTCTAGTTTCTCTTACAATGAAGTGTAAAACCTAAAACTGAGTTGAAGAGAGGTTGTATTCACAAAACGGAAACTGATTTCAATAATAGTGGCTGCTATGGGTGTATATTAGAGTGCATTGCTCTAATTGAACCATGTATAATTTCTGGTGTTGTTTCTTTCTTGTTTCAGCATTTATTTGTTCTTGCTGAGAGTGTTATACTCAATTCTTGAAGATTAAAGTTATGTAAAGAATTTCTGTTTTTTGCGTTACAAAAACATTTTATATTTTAATTACAAAAAAATCGTTTATTTATTAATTTCTTGAAAAAACATAAAAAACGATTATTTCCAAAAAGAAAAAGAGTTGTTCTGAAACATATATAAGCCAATGCAAATAGATGTAACCCTAGAGAACATGAAACACTCATTTTTCTCTTTTTCTAGTCCTTCTTTTCTATTTGTCCTCTTTCCTTTTGATGAGTACTAGAGACCGTGGTACAAAAATAGAAGTCATGTTTACAATAAAGTTAACAATTTTCATAGTCCACTCTATGATAACCAAACTTGTTCGATAAAATTAAATTGAAAATAATAGGTTTAAATGTTGGCTGAAATATTTTGATTTTACATATATTTCGAACAGTTGATATTACGATTTTATATATTTATTATTTTAATTCTAAGGAGTTAATGCTAGGATTTCAGAAAGTTCATTCTAAACCTATAAATATTTAATTGTATCATTTAGCTTTCTACACCACAAAAAATAATAACATTTAGCTTCCTCAATCTCTTTGTTATCAAATTGGTATAAAAGTTAAGTTTGAGTGTTTTGAGTGTGAGAGAGCTTGAAGAGAGAGATGACTAGTCTAACAATGGTGTGACCCTGTCCCGATTGACTAAATAAGTCAACTATGATAAATGGAGTCTCCAGATGAAGGCCTTTCTGATATCCCAAAATAAATGGACGATGTTTTTGAGAAACCAAAAAGTATCGAAAGATTTTCAATAGCCACAATCAAAGTGTGAGAAGGATAGACAACCCTGTACATGTTGTACTGAATTGTAGATGATTCTGCCTTTGAGAAGATACCAAGTGCCAAAACATCAAAAAAGGCGTGAAATAAGAATAAAGGAGTCAGGAGGAGTTTCCGAGTACATCAAGCGTGTTCAAACCATGGTGAATTAACTTAATCGAGATGAAGAGGTTTTTTTCAAAGCCCATGTTGTACAGAAGATCTTGAGGTCGTTAACCGATGCCTCTGAGAATAAAGTGTGCGCGATAGAAGAACCAAAGAACCTGTCTGAGCTCACATTACGAGAGCTGACTGGATCTCTTGGAATCCATGAGTACCGAAAAAAGAAAAAAAAGGAGGAAACAACAATTCAAGTGCTCTAGAGTGGGATAGTTGAGAAAGCTCTCTATTATCATAACACTTGAGGTGGTCGAGGTGATAAAGGTCGTGAAGAGAAAGAAGGAAAACAACAAAACTGGCATGGTAGAAGACGTGGTAGGAGAGGAGGTCATTCAAAAAGTCACTCAAATATTGAGTGCTTCAAGTGTGGCAAATATGGTCATTATGTAAATGATTGTTACCTAGACAAGTGCTACAATTATGATAAGATATGACATTTTGCAAAAGAATCTCAAGGTGAGAAAAAGGTGGAAGAGACCTATCTCATAAAGGAGACAAAAGCTAGAGAAGCAATACTATTGATTGCCGATCACAACTTCAAAAATTACAAGGATGATGGTTACAACTCGGCAGTATACATGGAAGTAGATTACAACTCAAAAAATAGCAACAATGGAGTTCAAGAAGATACCGATCATAACTTGTTATGGTATTTGGATACAGGTGTAAGTAATCATATGTGTGGGGACAAATACCTATTTAAAGAATTGGAGAAAGTTGAGAGTGATCATATGTCTTTTGGAGATACTTCAAAGATTTCGGTAAAAGGTCGAGGTACTATTTGTTTCTTACATAGTGATGGTCTAATCGGGTCAATCCGACATGTGTTATTTGTTCTAGATCTCAAGAGTAACTTTTTGAGTATGGGACAATTGATGGAGAGAGAATACTCGATTTTCATGAAAGACTAAGTACTACAATTGAAAGTCGAGCTTGGGAGGTTGATTGTTCAAGTTGATATGGGGAAGAATAGAACGTAAAAGTTACATTTGAGAACCATTTGGGAGAGGTGTCTGAAACTAAATGTAGAGGACACGTTATTGAAGAGAGATCATCGATCTGGTCACCTGCATTTTTGTGATCTAACCGAGTTGATTCATGATGTTGATTGTGATGTCCGAGTTGATGAACTCGAGCGTGAGGATGTTAGAAGAAGTCGAAGTCGAGTTGCTACCGAGGAGGAGGAAGAAACAATAGAGTCAGTAGATTATGGATCTCTCACTCATTTAAATTCAAAGTTGAACTTGGTCGAGCTAAGTCCGAGTAGTAGATTTCGAAGTGACCCTGTCCGAGCTCTTCTAGACAAGAAGATCCAAGCTGTTATGGATGAGAAGGTTTGAGCTGTTATAGATGAGACGATATGAGTTGTTATAGACGAGAAGGTCTGAGCTCTTGTAGATAAGAAGAACCGAGTTATTATAGATGAGAAAGTTCAAGTTGTTATGGACGAAAAGATCTGACCTGTTGTTGGACGAGAAGATCCAAGTTGTTGTGGACGATAATACCCGAGTTACGGAATACAATGACACGTGGGTGATGACCTATTAGTGTGAAATGGGTATTCAAGAAGAAGAGAGATGAGAAACTTTTAGGTTGGCCTTTGACCGAGCTTAGTCAGATAAAAGAGATGAAAAGTTTAAGAGCACAATGAGAATTGAATTTGAGATGACTTATTTGAGTATGATGATTTTTTTTCTTAGCTTGGAGGTTAGACAAGAAGAGTTAGGGATATTTGTGTCCCAAGAGGCGTATGCAAAAGAGATTTTGAATAAGTTCAAGATGGCCGGTTGTAATCCAGTCTCAACTCCCATGGAACAAGGAATGAAGCTTTCAAAGTTTGAAGGAGGAGACCGAGTTGATCCGAGCAGATATCTGAGCTTAGTGGAAAGTATTCATCATCTTACAAGCACAAGACCTGACTTGTTATTAAGCGTTGGGATTGTTAGTCTATTTATGGAAGATTTGAGTTACCCTCACTGAAAGGCACTGAAGCAAATACTGAGGTATATCTGAGATACAATATCACTCTAACTATTGTATATAAGGTCGGATAATTACCAACTTGTTAGATACTCAGATAGTGATTGGTATGGAGATATGGATGATTGAAAAAGTATATTAGGATATGTATTTTTTATGGGGAATACAACGTTCACTTGGCTGGCTGTCAAAGAAGCAACCCATAGTGATATTGTCAACGTGTGAAGCTGAGTATGTAATAGCATTGTGGAGTGTGTGCTCAAGAATTTGTTGAACTCATTGGAGGAGACACAACTCGGTGCGACGGTGATCCAAGTTGACAATAAGTCATCCATTAAACTAGCGAAGAACTTGATCTACCATGAGAGAAGCAATCATATTGATATGCGGTTTCATTTCATCAGAGAAAACGTGAAGGAAGGAAATATGGAACTTGTCCATGTGGCAAGTTGAGATCAAATTGTTGATATTTGTACAAAGTCATTGTCTACGATGTTGTTTGAGAATTGCACGAAGCTAGTCGAGATGAAGGATGGAAGAAACTCTTGGTCAGAAGGAGTAGGTCGGTCTTTGGCTGATCTCAGCCAGTTGAAGAAAAACATTTAATTTTATGGAGGAATTCTATTGGATAAAATTAAATGGAAAATAATAGACTTAAATATTAGTTGAAATATTTTGATTTTGCATATATCTTCGATATTTAGTTCTAGAATTTCAGAAAGTCCATTCTAAACCTATAAATACCAGTTGTATCATTCAGTTTTTCACACCACAGAAAGCAATAACATTTAGCTTCCTCAATATCTTTGTTATCAAAACTATGTTTTTGCACAAGTTAAACATGTTCAACTGATGACTCTGGCTATTCTATTTGTTATGATATTGTCGTATGTCTGCAGGCTCGTCCACATCTCCTTAGCGTAATGGAGACACGTAATTTTAGTGAACTAGTAGATCCAAGACTCGAAAAACACTTTGTGGAGAAAGAAATGTTCAGAATGATTGAGGCAGCTGCAGCTTGTGTTCGCCACTCAGCTCCTAGACGGCCTCGTATGGTTCAGGTGATAACAATACCAAACAGCTATGTTGTGCATCCACTTACTGTTTAAGTTTGTTCTTGTTTCACTTAACAAGTCTATCCATCGAGCAATTCTATCTCACCTGATTTAAGGCATTAATTAGTTTAGTTAGTTGTATATCTGACAATTTGTTATGACAGTTGTATTTGCATGAAACATTGCTGTTGTAATGTGAGCTGAGCTGTATATAACGGCTGCATGTTAAGTTTGTTTTTTCTTTCATTTGATACGTGGATCATATTTACTTACGTTTCCCATGGTTGATATCAGGTGGTAAGAGCCTTGGATACTGGAGACGAAAAATCTGATCTATCTAATGGGGTGAAATATGGTCAGAGTACAATTTATGATTCTGGCCAATATGATAAAGAAATAATGCTATTCAAAAAGATGGCTAATGGCACCTTTTCTGATTCTGATTTCGATATGTATAGTAGAGAATACAGTCTTTCAAGAGAGACCTCAAGAGGATCCCAACAAGAATTGATCCGGAATAGTTCCTGTGGCGAGTTATAATCTAGAGCCATCAACAGGTAGAGGATCAGTACTGATTGAAAACAGCGATTGAGGGAATTACACATATTAGTGCAGTGGTGAATAATGAGCATAGGCATAGTGGAGTCAGCGGCTGCTGCTTTTAACCCAATTAGTTTCCCAAATGTAATGGACCATGACATTGTATGATCATTATACCACAAGCCATGAATGTTTCTGGTTTTACACGAATTTGAACTGTGGCCTGTATCCAATCCTGCATAGAAGCATCACTTAACCCTTTTCTCTCTAATTTTTGTTCTGTTTTGTTTTCCCCTTTTTTAATACGGGGATGTTGGCAGCTTGTAAAAAGATAAGTTTGTTAAGGTCATTTTTTAATGATAATTATCAGTAGATGTTTCTTATTAAAAGATTTGAGTTTCTTACTGCACATTTGTGCTACAACGGTATTAAAAAACTAGTTAAAAATCTACTGTATGTGCAAGTTCAAAATATTTCTGCAAGCATGAGGCCACCACAATGAAGAAAAAATGATAGGTTACTAAACACATAATATAGCTATGTGGCATAGTCATTGTCGGGAAATAGTAAATTGCTATTGCCGGTGCCAAGAAAAATTGGAAATACAATTTATGCTTCCCGTGCGACTTCTATTGCGGTGCGTTGTTTATTTGCAGACAATAGCCAAGTCCTTAGCTAGCAAGTGCACTTTCAACTTGTGCTCTGAATTAATGGCTTTGCTGATAACTGTGTCATTCAAGTGCTTCTCACTGGTAACTAAGATTTCCATTTCTGCAAACTTTGAAAAGTGCTCTTGCTTCCTTGCTCATATTCATACTCCCACCATTTTGCTGAACTTGTTACCGACTTTGTCTAGCATCGCTTGTCTTTTGTATTAAATACTCTTTCAGTTTAGTTGGGTGAATATCCTTCTTGGTTGCCTGTAGAACAAAATTTAATCTCATCGCATTATAAAGGGGATCCTATGAACTGATCTAGTGAAGGGGGACTATGAGAGACCGAGAGTAAGGTGGTGGGATAGAAGGATGAATGCTTTCAGACAATTATAGTTCTAATCAACCTAATTTTTCAAATGATGCAGGTAACATTTTTTTTCCATGAATGAAATCTTTTCTACTCTTTTCTCCATCCCACAATTGTCTAATCCCTCTTTGAAGAGAAGAGGGTAGTGAATCCATGTCGAATTTATAAACCCAAACTGGAATGTGATAAGTGTTTGGAGTTGGACTTGAGTCCTAAGCCAAATTACCAAAAAATTAGCTCATTTTTTTATGGGGCTCTATATATTAAGCAAATTAATCCACTTTTCTACGGATTCTTGTACCCTTACCTTAACCGTCAGAATACTCAGGACTTTGTCATCACATGTGGTCATATTGGCACTAGCCACCTGTAGTCCAATTGAATGTATAGCTTCCATCAACTTTGAGAACCCACCTTGCTTCTGCTCACAGTATAACTTAATCAAGAAATCTTTCTTGCTAATGTGGTGCACTTCTGCTTGCACCTGCTAACAAGTTAGCAAATTATATCAAGTCACTGACAGGATTAGTTTCATCTAAGATTTGGAGAAAACTATTAGTAGTTATGGAAACTCTTTGTACCTCCATCTGCATCTTTTTAGTGCAATCAGAAGAACTTTGATTAAGAGGGTCAATTGTGGTTCCTTCTTGTTCTTTGCCCGTTGGCTTCCTCAATTGTGGTGGGTTTTTGTCACAGTCCTGTACTTCCAAAACCCTGGCCTCATCTTTTAGTTCTTTCATCGTTGTATGCAATTCCTTTATATAGTCAACTGCGTCTGCAAGAATTGCAGCTCTATCCATCTGCCAAAATTTAATGGATCAGATCCTAGGCAAAATTGAGGAGGACAACCATTATGAATGTCTATTAAGTTATGTAGTCTATCTACCTTGGTTATCTTTGGGACCAAAGACCGCAGAGTAAAAAGCCCTTTTTTAATCTTATTTCTCCTATTCCTCTCTGTGACAAGATTTTTAGCCTGGTACCCTTCCTTCTGAGGCTCCTTGACCAATTTTGATTTACCTTGTTCCCCATTGCTACAATGGGAACTCAAACCTCTCTGCTGTTTCCCCGATGTTTTGTTGTACCTGGGTATTTTAGTTTTGGGGATAGGAGATATTTTAACTGATTGCTTTAGATACTCATCTGGGATCAGACCAACACACTTTGAATCAAATGATGGTTCTTCAGTTGAAGGATTAGACCCACTGGGGGGTCCTTCAATGCTAGGATGGGAGGTGCACTGTTTTGTTTCATGATGAAGGACACTAGGAGTTAAAGTTGTTGACATGTGTGGTAGCCACCAATGTGAGTACTGTTCCCTTAATGGGAGATGTTCAATGATGTTCAGACTGGTGTAGCTCTGTGCAGATATGGCTTCTTGCTTTAAAGAGACACAGCCATGTGCTGTGATGAACTCTATGATATTCATATCCATTGGAATCTGACAAAGATGGATACTTTATTAACATAAGAGTTCTCAATCAGAGGTCTTGTCAACAAGTATCAAAATTTATATTCTACCAGCTTTTCAGTGAAGAGCTCAATAAGACCACCAACAATAGGGATCAAAACTTGGGTTCCAATTGAATCCTGTGAAAAACAGTGAGATTTTTAGTTTATGATCTTAATGTTTATTGTAAGCAACCATTAACAGTCTCGGGTAAAATGTCATGTCTGTTAGTATCCGTGGCAAATTGACAACCATTGGGCAATTTATCTGGTAGTATCCATGATTGTACGTAACTGACCAGTTATTTTGAGAAGAAGGTGATTGTTTCAGCCTAAAATTTTATCAGGGTTGGCACTGATTTTGGATGTTCATGTGTTAAAATAACTAAAAGGTCATAGCTAGTTAATCAGATTAAGGGAAGAACAGAATTTGCAATAGCCATCATAGAACATAAGAGATAGTACTTTTGTTGTGCCTTTACTGGCACTTCCCAAATGTAAAACCATATCTACTATCTAATGGGAAGTTTAATGCTATAATAAAAGTATGTGACCACGTTAAAAGTAAATAATAGAAAAATCCCTTTTATTGCATAAAGTTTTTAGCCGGTTAAAAATAATAGAATACCTTGGTAATCCATCTTGATTGTTGAGATATGGCAACCTCTCCATGCACACTGGGTCAGATAATTATCATTAGTGTTTCCTTACCTTGGCCAAAATTTATACAGTGTGTATATATATATATATATATATATACAGCCTCACACAAACACAGATGATCACAAGTCATAACAATCAGAATGAGTGAGAGAGAGACCCAGAATAGAGAGACAATGCAAAAGGAAGTTGAGCAAGAGCCTCACAAGCCTTTGTTCTAACATGATGCTGAAGATAATTATCCCTGCAAACGGGAGCCAAGTGGCATACTTTACCATTTTCCTCTTTGGACTTCACCACACCAGTGTTCATACTGCAACTCCCTCTACAACAGCAACCTATCCACTCAATAAACCTACACAGGGATCAAAATGCATTAAAAACAGATTCTCACAAGAATGAAAAATAGTGCAAAATATAATGAGTGAGAAAAAAAAGTGGCTTCTATAAAAGCACCTAGTTGGGTCATCCCCATATTTCCAAACAACAACATAATCCCAAACATTGGTCTCAACAAGAGGTCTAAGCCACTCTACTACACCCAAACCACTCATTGTCTCTTAAGAAGACTTAAACTTTTGTGTATGCATTTTTTACATGGACCATTTGTCACCTTTATAACAGTCTCCCAAATTGAAGCACATGGTACAGGACAAGTTCTTATCAGTTATGGAATGGTGTATCATTGATATCAGTAGCATATCTCTGACAGTGGGAATCTTGTACCTGCCAGTGAACGAGGCGCAGAAGCTGTTTTTGACTAACTAACCGTGGCTAGTGATACAAAATAACCATTTTCAACTAGTTACATTGAAAGCAACCCATAACTGCACAATCATTAGATTCCTTTTATTAGTATTTACTTTTTTTCTTTCCTATTTTTCTGTGGGTTGGATATGTTTCTCCTCCGGGGTCACATTTTTATCAAGTTTATCTTATTTAGGGCAAAACAAAAAAAGTTATATCATCAATGAAATATATTTGTTGGTATAATTTAAGATTCTTATCATAAAAATCAATAACTTCTCCTATATATACACAATGTTTGGTAGTTAGATGACAGAATATAAAGTATTAATTTTTGTTTTTTAACGTGAATCCAACTTCTCCTAAATTTTTCATTGCCAACATGTTACTAGCTAGATCAATCGTTGTCAAATTTAATCCGCACTGTTTTCAAATTTGAGCAGTTCCAGTAATGAGCAAAATCAAATTTCATGGCCACGGTGACCACACAAGTAAAAACTGAAGACATTGGAGAGGTGCAAGGATACACATTCAGAGATGTGATTATTCTAAAAGATAACATACCTTCGTTAAGATGTAATGTTTCTAGCACAAGATGCATCATAATTTTATTTTATTTATTTAAATGGAATTAAGGATGATAAAACAGATCAAGTCCTCAATCTGCTGTAATATGATAGGATTAGTTAGTATTTTCTCAGTTTGTTAACTTGTTTTGACTCGTGAATCCGTCGAGCTAGCTTACGGGACAGTGATCCAGCTTGCCGCCCACCTAATAAAAAAATGAATTTTTTATTATAATACAGTAAATCATAAAAAAAATATAAAGTTAAAAATTGTAAAAAAGAATTAAAAAAATGTTATAAAAAACATTTTTCTTACTCAAACACAAGTTTCTTCTTCCTTTTTTTCTTGTTACGCATCATATCTTCATTGTTCATCCTAAACACGAATTGTTCTTATCCTTATTACTTGAATTAAAGGTATACAAATTACTTAAGGAGAGAATAAAAATATGAAGTTTTATCAAATAAAAAAGATATAAGTATTTAAATTTTTTTAATATAAAAATATAAATTTTACAAGTTTTGACGTTATTTATTATTATTTATTATTATATAAATTTTATTATTGTTCTAAATTATAATTTCTTAAAATAATATATTGATTTATGTTATTAACTTAAAATGTTAAATTATTGACAAACAAATAATAATCTTATTATTAAGTTTATTAAAATTTTAGATTTAAAAAAATATTTCTTTTTTAACTTATGACAAGGGAGTCAAAGTCTATAACTTATCATAATTATAACGATTCAACTAGTCTAATCCCTTACATTTTTTATATATCAAAAGTATAATAGACCAAAACGGACAAATTACGTATTTTGACGTCACTAAATAAGATAATAGGGAGTGAAAGATTAGAAAATGATAAAAATGAATACAAATTTATTTAAACAGTTAAAATAAGATTAAGAAAAGATAATTTAATTTATTATTTTAATCGAAATTTTAATTAGTAGGAGCATATCTTTATTTTATTTTTTTTAGGGACTTTATGCTTTTATTTATGTTTTAAATAATATTTTGGTACGCTGTATAAATACAGTGCCTCCAATAATAATAATAATAATAATAATAATAATAATAATAATAATAATAATAATAATAATAATAATAATTATATAAAAAAATTATCTTTTGTAATTTTTTTACCTATGATAAATAAAATAAAATAAGTGTTGAAGTTTTTTTAGGTGTCATCTAAGATGAAAATAAGTGTCATAATTTAAAGAAAAAATAATTATTATAGTTTATATATTTAAAGAATAATAAAAATATGAGAGAGTAAAAATAATAATAATTAGTTGGAAAAAAAAAGTAAATATGTCCAAAAAATATAAAATTAAAAAAATAAATTAACTATAAAAAAATAAACATGTAAATAATTTATATATATATATATATAATTATTATTTAGTTAATGATTAAATTAGAGAATAATGGAAAAAAAAATTAACAAGACCGTTTATCAGACCGTTTATAATTTATTTTAAATTAAATATTATTTAAATAAAATTTCTCGATAATTTATTTATCAGACCGTTTATTGTTTTAAGGTAGATTTTTTTTCATATTTTTAATTAATTTTTTTTCAATTTTTCTTTATTTTCATTCACTTCTTATTTTTCTTTTCTCTTTTCATGTTTCTTGTTTTTTTTTATCCTTTTCTAGCTATACTTCTAATTAAGATTATTATATTAAAATTTAATAAAAACATGTCAAAGTAAATTTCTAATAAAACTAAAAAAATAGGAATTAATTATTTAAAATTATAATGATAATAAGGAAAGAGAAAAAAATATAATAAGCATACTCACTTAACTGGTCATATTTGCACACAATTACTAAAAATTGGACAACTCATTATATTCCACTAATTATTCTTCTTTCTCTTACTTTTTATATCACTTTCATTATTAAAAAATTTTTCTCACCTATATTTCATTTTTTTCTCTCCTTTTGATATTTCTTCGAGTTATCCAAAATAAAATAAAAATTAATTAAATTTTTTTTACAAAATTGTACTTCAAAAAAAATTAAAATAAATTTAAAGATTTATTTTGAATAATTATATAATTTAACCTAAATCTATATAAGATATGTATTTTATATTTAAATTATTTTAAACTAATTTAAATATTTTAAAAATTATAAATAATATGCATCTTGACTACGTGAACTTTGACCCAATAGTATTAAATATAAAAAAAGTAAAAGTTAATTATTTATTAAAAATAATAATTATATGACGTTTATCAAAAAAAACATATATTATCTAATTAATTAAACAAATTATTTATAATATAAATAATTATCTTAGTTTAAAATATTTTAAAATATATAAAAAAATTATTTTATATATATATATATATATATATATATATATAAACTAAAGTATATTATTATTCAAAATAAATTCATGAATATATTTTAAATATTTTTGAAATATGATTTAGAAACAAAAATTACCTGTTAAAAAAATAATTACAGAGAAAGAAAATTGAAAGAGAAATAATAAATACGAGGTGAGAGAAGATTTAATAATTTGTGAGTGATATGTGTAAATATTAATGAAATATAATAAGTTGTCCCATTTTAAGTGGTTGTGTGCAAATATAACATTGTTAGGTGAGTTGGGAATTTCTTTCTATATAAATAAATTTATAGAAATTTTATTTAAATATTTTTTTAAATATATTATTTATTAGATTGATTCTATATAGAATTTGGACGTGTGAGAGCAAATAAAACATACAAGAAATCAAGGTTATATATATATATATATATATATATATATATATATATATATATATATATATATTTATGAGGTATAAAAATATGATTAGTACGATGGATTGGTCAACAAAAAATAAGATAAATTAGATCCAAAAATTTATGATATAAATTGAATTAGATTTATTTATGTCTAATTTATATAGATCATCCTTTACGTAAACTTAGACTAGATTAGTTCGTAGAATCATAGGTTTATTTGTATTATAGAATAATAATTTTTTTTAATAAAAATAAATATATTATTTTATTATATATATATATATATATATAAATATAAGTATTATAAACTAATTTGAATTCACTAAATCTCTAATATTCACTTATTTCAAGATTTAATGATTAAGATGATATTATTTTATATCAATAAATTAATAAAATATATATTTTTAAAATTTAAATTATATTAATAAAATTAATTTTTATTTAAGATATAATAATTTAATATATAAATTATAAGAAAATATATTCATTTATTTTCAGAATAAGAGTTAAAAATTTACTTTTCATTTTATTGATCTAAAATAATAATTAATCTTAATATGTATATCTTAGAATAAGTGATTGTTAGAAATTTATTCTCATAGTTTAGAATTAGTTAATTCTTTATTAAATTAATTTATAATATATATATATATATATATATATTTTTTAATAAAATAATATTATTTTTTATTTAAAAAATAATTATTATTCTATAAAATGGGTCAGACTAAATCTATGGGTTAACTCGCCTTAAATCCGTGTAGACCATGATCTAAACAGCTGAACTCAAAAAAAGTTTGATTTAATTTAAGCCACAAAATATGTTGAACACTTTCTTCATGCACCTCCATAATTAAATTAAACCTTATTTTACCCTTACATTTATCTTCATACAATATTCGAACAACAAAAATTTTGGCTAGAAACACATTCCCCGGATTGGGAATGAGAAACTTTTCTAGAAATATGTTCCAAAAACTGGATTCTGAAATAGATTTTGGGAATTAATTTTTCAAATGAATTAGTGGGTCTGAAATACACTTCTGGGAAACATATCAAGGTTGAGGACATGAAAGAGATTTGAAGACATAAAAGAAAAGAAAATGGTGCATGAACTACCTTAACTAGAAGCCTCAAGTATCGTGTGTGCGGATTGTTTTAATGGAAAACAATATGATAATCTAATTTTAAAGAGTGAATGACATGTCACTAAAGCTTGAAATTCATGTAGATATTTATGCACCAATAGAATTCATATTGACTAGTCGAAAGAGCTCTCTCTTAAGCTTCATTAATGATTATAACAGTAAAATTTGGGTTTATTTGCTTTCTAAAAAATTAGGAATTTTGGAGTGCTTGAAGTCTTACAATAAACTCGGGAAAGGAAGTCAAAACATCAATCAAATGTTTGCGAATAGAAAGAGGAAGAGAGTTAACTCTCTCCAGTTTAAATCATTTTG